GCAAGTAGAGTGAAGGGGTCTTCCCACAATGTTAATATCTATAAAATTGAAAACAATATGTCATAATCCTTAAACAGTATGTCAGTATTATGCCCTGTTTATCAGTGTCATTTAATTGTTGTAAAAAACACGTAAGTTGTGGATATGAACAAATGTGAATAAATAATTAAAAGGCATAAATAGTTTAAAAATTGCTGACACCGTGTCATTGGATTGAGGTGCTCTGGTCGAGGAGTTATTTAGCATAATATTTATTTTACACTAAGTTTAATGAGTGTTTGCGTCTAAATATTTGCAGCATGGAGAAGAACTCAGCTCCAGAAGTCCCATACACCTACCTGCGCTATGATGGTCTCGTATACGATGCAAAGCCCGTCCGAGTCGTTAGCTCCTGCAGTCTCAACATCTATCTGTTTCCCTTTGATGTTCAAAACTGCACTTTCACCTTCAACTCCTACATACACCGCAGTAAGTAAAAACTCTATGGACTCTGATTTTAAACCGTAATATAGGATTTTATCTTATTCAAGAAAGTACATTGCTACATGTCTTACTATGACTTTATTTTCCTTGCAGGCAGTGCTATACAACTGGAACTTCTAGGCACATATGAGCAAATCTTTCAGGCGTCCAAAGAAGAAATGGCAACACAGGGGGAATGGCAGCTCGTGGGAATAACATCAGAAAGAGTAGTAATACCAACCTTGGAGGGGTACAGTTATGACGAGCTTCGCTTCTTTGTAAGAACCTGCACGAATAATTTATGGTTGTTTGGTAATTATTTACAAACTAGCTGTGAAATTCAGGAACATTTACAGAAAAGCTTACATTTCAGTTTAATCAAAAGGAATTTTCCACCTCCTAGTGAAAGTAACTTTAAAATTAATATACTTTAATATCTCAATTAAATTTTATTTTTATTTGTTAATATTCCTGAACCATAAACATCTTATTGGGAAGGTTAAATTATTGGGATCATTATTATCTTTTTCGCTTTTATCAAACAGGCTACTTGAAGAACAGGATACTAAACAAATGAATAATTCTGCATTTGCAATATGAAAGTTTGATAAAGGGAATTTTTTATATTTTTCGTTATCCGCTGACCTGCGATCTTCTGCTGCAGGTTGCTGTGAAGCGCCACTCTACCATGTATGTGGTGAACCTTCTGATCCCCAGCTGTTTCCTCATTACTGTGGATCTCTTCAGCTTCATGTTGCCTGTTCAAAACGTTGACCGGTCCTTGTTCAAGATGACTCTGGTCCTGGGCTACACTGTCTTCCTACTCAGCACCAATGACCTGCTTCCTATCACTGGAAACACCATACCTCTTATCAGTCAGTTCTCCAAAGTTCTGTTGATATTCCCTATTATAATAAATGTAGAACTGTAGAAATGTAGATTTGCTCCGCATATCCATCTGGAAACCTTACGTTGAAGAAATTTTGGAAGGGGTGAAAATACTGGTTAGCTGATTGGCCTATGTTGGTGATAGACGGGCCAAATAAACCAATCAGATCAACGAAGCATATGACATACTAACGGAGCGATGACGAAAACACAACCCCAAGCCAGGCTACTCTTGCCGAAACCAGTCGGGAGAAGAACAAAAACATCTTTTCCTCTGAGAAAAGCCTCCAGAGCAGTGTTTTGCTCTTCTTTCAGTGAAGAAATACTCTGTAATTCCGATAAAACTTGCTCGATAGCCACGCTAACGCTAGTTTCATCGGCTGAAGCCGCCATGTTCTTTAGACTGAACTGTCAAATATTTTATCCTTATCTTTGAAAGAAGAAAAGTCATCCTTGTCTTGAGGTCTCCTCTTTTTAACTGAGGATGCTTTCCTGATCTAAGCAAAAAGTCGACTTATTATTTTATCTCAGGTGCACTCACACTGTTTGTGAGGACAGTTTTTTATGGACCAATGCTCTGCAGATCTTCTTGTCCAGCGGGGAAGTGATGGCCTAGTGGTTAGGGCATAGAGCTTGGAATCCTGAAGTTGTGAGTTTGAAACCCACTGTCGCTCTCTGAGCAAAACCCTTAACCCCGATTCCTCCATGAAGGCAGCCCACTGCTTCCCAAGGGGATGGGTTAAATGCAGAGTTAAATTTTTCCAAATGTGAGATCAATAAAGTTCAATTATTATTATAGCAGTAACCTAAAGCGTATTTTCAGCGCTACCCACTGCCCAACAAACAACTTGTTTTGCAAAACCTATTCCATAAAATGAAATGTTCACACGCTTGTAAACAGATATTACTTGTTTTGATAACCTTTCTAAATGAAATCCTAAAGGTTTTTTAGGCTGTGAAAATAAAATGATGTCTAGTCCAAAACACTTCTGACTAATGCCCCCCAGCACTATCCTTTTTACACAATTAGTCAACTTTAAAACGTGCAGCTTTAAAATGCTATGTATTTACATGAATGTAACATTGATACAGACATTAAGCATATTTCCACTCAAATGTTGCAGAAATGACTTTATATTAATGTCAACACAATGCTGACAGTCTTTTTTCAAACATGAATGTTTATAACTTCAACATTCGGAATATGCTAGTCGTCCAGGTCATAGTCATTCTATAAAGCTTGAACTCAATGCTATTTCTGACATTTTTTATTGAAAAACCTTCCTGGATGGGAAGCGAAACGTCTTCAAGCTGAAAATAAAGTCCAGTGGATTGTTTTTTTTTTACTTTTTTTAAATAACATGCTGAATATTTGAAGTGACTCTAGCAGTCTACCTGTTATATTAAAATGTATTTGATTTCAGGGGGAGCACATTGTCTCTAATTTGTTTGTTTTCTGTAAAACAACTCTCCAAAGTTTATTCTTTATTATTCCAGATGTGTTTCTGTCTCTCTGCCTGACCCTGATGGTTACCAGTCTCATGGAGACCATCTTCATCACCAATCTTCAGCGGGGCTCGGCTCACTACACTCCACCTCCTCGCTGGATCAAGGGGTTTATTCTTAACTTCCTGGGACGTCTTGCGGGGATTCCACCCAAGCCTGAACCTGAAAAAGATCTGGTGATAAAGAATCCTGATATACAAGGTTAGCTACAGATTCAACGTCTGATATTAGTCTCTAAAATGATGGAATTTACTCTGTTTGAATTCATAGTTTTCATTTCCTTCCTCTGGGATAGAAAATTTCTCTCCAGTATCAAAAGAGAATGAAACCATTGAGAGAAAGGGGACGCAAAAGGAGCATGAGACCCTGCAGGTTCTGAAGAACCTGAGCAGGGATCTCCAGGCCATCCACCATCATGTGATTCTACAGCTGAAGGGAAGTCCGAGCTCAGAGGAGTGGATCCAGATTGGCCTGGTCATCGACCGTCTGCTCTTCATCTTCTACATCTTCTTCATCACAGTCAGCTTTATTTCTATCATCATTATCTGGGTCACCTCATATAACTCAGTATAACTTTGACTTTAAATTGCAGCAAATTTATGAAATATATCATTTTCTTTAACGCCTTTGGTGTTTTTTGCTTCAGAAGTTAATAAACTTTTTTTAGAGCAAACAAACTCATTTAGTTGCACAACCCATCAACCAGCCTCTCCTTCTCCAGACTTTAAATGCTTTATATTTTTGGTCGATCGTTTCACCTATGCTAGTTTTTAAAGTATTGTTGTTATTGAGACAGTTAAAATGTGTAAATCTGAAATAAATACAATAAATAATTCCAAAATGTTTGTGTTATGGTTTACTTTATTCCTAAACATGTCAATAAACTCCACATTGTTGATTGTCTAAAACATAATTGTTAGGGATGTCATGAACAGCCTGGATCTCAGACTAGAGGTGTAAATTTATTCAATTCGATTCAATTCCGTTTATTTATATTAGTGTTGCGCAGGTGCCAATTTTTGGCCCCAATACCCGATACCTGGCTGTGCAGTATTGGCCGATACAATACAATCTGTTTGAAATTGATATGTGTGGACATCTTGGCTATTCTGGAGAAACTGTGGAAAGGTGGGGGATTTTACTCATATATTTTGGGATTGACCAAAAGTGGTTAAGTTTTGGAAAAATGTGCAAACAGATATAAAAAAATATTTTAGGCATTTATTTAGATCTGGATATATCTGTATATATTTTAGGAATAATTCCCATGGACTTGACCAATAAAGACAATAAATACTTGATTAGGGTCATGCTCCTGATCGCGAAGAACTGTATAACATCTGCATGGTTAAGGCCACAACCTCCGAGTATCACAGAGTGGAGAGATAGAATCAGAAAAGTCTACATCATGGAAAAAACAACATCAAGACTACAATTCAAGCTGGAGACCTTTGAAACTAAGTGGAAACCTATAGCTAAATTCATATTGGGACCTTGACACCTCTTTGGTCCTTTTTTGAGATTGTGTTTTGACTTTATCTTGTATTGTGTGCTTTTATTACTTTAATCTGTTTTCCCAGTGTGCCTACTGTTGTACATTTCACCTTAATCATAGTGACTTATACATCCATGAATGTTATTAATGAATATGGGTTTCTCTTAATTGGGCTAGTGTTTATTTGAAGGAAATGCACCTTTATTTGTTGTTCTTGGAGGTTCTTTTTGTTATTTTCTCCTTCAATAGCACCTGGATAACTGTTAACGGAGCTGGAATAGACAGCCTGTATGTCTGATGTAAATGAAAGGTCTAAAATGATCTATAAGAAGATATTAAGATGTGAATTGTGAGATGTGACATGGATGGACATATGTATGTGTTAATATAAAAATTGTTATTGAAAATAAAAAGAAGAAGAAATTGATATGTGTGTGTATATATATATATGAAATAATTGCCATCAGGGCTTTGTCAAGCTGCTGCCTACCTTTGTGAAGCAGGAAAAAGACTAATACAAAATGAATTCAGTAGAACTTTTAATTCCCTACCTGGAATGGGTGACAAGAGTTAAATAAACTTTTGGCTCTCAAAATGATAATGGTACCCTATTTGTTGGTACTCGCCGATACCGATACCACCATTTTAGTGCTGGATCAGGGCGCCGTCCGATACTGGTAGTGGCATCAGTGCAACACTATTTCATATAGCGTCATTTCACAAAACGTCATTTAAAGGCACGTTACAGTTCAACCAGATCATCCAGTCAAATTGATTCAAAGTTTCTATTTAAGGAAAACCAGTTGACTACATCGACTCATTGACTCAAAGCAATCCCTCACACTAAGCATGCTTGTAGCGACAGTGGAGAGGAAAAGCTTCCTCTTAACAGGAAGAAACCTCCAGCAGAACCAGGCTCAGTGTCAGTGGCCACCTGCTTGCCTTGGCAGATGGGCGCTCACACTTGACCGGGGTTCAAGGAGACAGAAGCAGAGATACAAAAGCAATACAAAATAATATAAAATACAAAAATAATTTATAACAATAATTACCTAATTGCCATATATGAGACCAAAAATAAATATAAAAACAGACCACAGAGGTGAATAGAAAAGTGGAATAAAAACAGCTAGGAACCCACAAACCTTTTAACTTTAACTTAGTTTAAACCTATGCATTTCCTAAATAGCGAGCAGATTTGCAGAAAAAGAAAAGGTTCAACAACTTCAACCGTAAAGAATGCCACATGATAGAGAATTTTTAAAATGTATCCAGAACCTTCGGTCCATCCTGTGCAAAAATCCAGTGTAATGTCACAGCTCTAGACAAAAAGATCACTAAGTCTAAAATATTAATTACATAAAGGATATAGTTAAAACCCTTACACAGTGCTCTTTCATCACTAAATAAATGTATTGTTTTATTTAATACACAAACTTTAATGTTATCTAACATAAGTCAACACGGTTATAGATCATACTGGTGAAAGAGATTATGTAAGCAGTTACATCTGAAAAAAGTTAATTTGAGTTAATACTTACATAGAATCCCCTTAGTGGTGGTGGTATGATGCTGTGGGATGCTAAGGTCTCCTCAGAGCCTGGCATTCAGAATCCATAAAAGGAAACCCTGTTCTAGGTTGCAAAATACTTGATGCTGGGGCACAGCCTCACGCCCTAAACCAGTGTTTTTCAACCCTGGTCCTTAAGGCACACTGCCCTGCATGTTTTAGATGTTTCCCAGCTTCCACACACCTGTTATCAATTGATAGCAAATTATCAGGCTTTGCTGAACTGCAATCATCTGAATCAGGTGTGCTGAAGCTCAGAAACATCCAAAACATGCAGAGCAGTTTGCCATGAGGACCAGGGTTGAAAAACACTGCCCTAAACATCATTATGGCCAGAGCTACAATGGCGTGGTTTAAAGTAGATCAAAGCATCTGCATGCAAAAGTCTGCAGCATGTTATTCCTTCTTAACTCCTTCATATTAGAGCTTTTGATGATCACGAGAACAGACATTGTCATAAAAATTAAACAATGAGGATCCAGGTTATTTTTTAAAGTCAATATGAAATTACAGATACACACAAATAATTTATCAAGCATTGGAACAGGATGCAACCCCCTGCAGGTGGAGGTACTAAAAAACAAAATGGATGAGCGCTCATTGGGAGTGTGAAATAACAATTTATTTTTCTCTTTGTTATGTTGTTGGTCCATCATGGGGTTTTCCATTTATATGTGGTTGTGAATTAACCCTCACATTGTACATGTGACTATATTGTTAGTCAGTCCCAGAAGATTTATTATCTGCAGTGATGTAGCTCTAAGTAAAAAAACAAGGAGCCTTTTCAGTGGACAACATTAAACCAGTGATTGTGCAGAATATTCCATGCTTCCTGCAGCACAGCATGACTTGGTTTCAGCAGGGGCTCAGCTTCATCTTAGGGTCGCTCTTACTGGCAGGTAATCAAAAGTTCTTCCACATTTGTTGTCTGAAGTTTTTTTTTTCTATCCAGTGGTATTAAACTAATTGTAAAGGGGTCCATTGTGTTTTTGCTGAATTGTTTCTTTATTTTCAGTTCAAAATATGATGTTACATTTCAAATCTGAACATTTTCTGATGATTAGAGGAAAAAGTCACTATTGTCACTATAGGGGAATTGTATTTATCTATGTCTGCCTTTAGGTAAAAGGATCAGTTGCCTTGTTATATATATCAAGTAAAATTGTATATGTTCAAAGCTTGATTGTAATACAGATAACTCTGCCTGAGTTTATAGTCTTTCACTATAGCTCTAAAAAATATACGATTCAAAGTTTTTATAGTATGCACATATGTTAGAAACTTTTAACTGTTCTTTGAAAGCGTCCACATGCCATGGGAAACTGGTTTGTAAGGAGGGCCAGAGCGGTCCTACACATCAATCTGTGAAAGCCGTGTTAGACCTGCAACCCTTCAGGCCAGCTGTAAACCTCAGTAACCCCACCATTGCCAACATCTCCTTCACCCTTTATGCCGTCCTCGGAGTGGTGAGTTTCTACTTCTAAATAAATGTATGCATGCCATGACTGTCCTAATCCATATTCTAATGTGTGCTACCTTGATCATTTATGTTATGTTATTCATGTATTGTATGCCATTGTTATTTTCTTCATTTCAGAATGAAAAAGCTCAGATACTGACTACATTTCTGTGGCTCAGACTGGTGAGTTTCATGAGGCAAAGATATTCCGGTTTACACAGATAGGGAAGTTTATCTGTGCTACGTTTTGTGTTCATGGCTGCAGTTCTGGCACAATGAGTATCTGGTTTGGGAGCCGGAGAAATGCGATGGTGTCACTAGGATTTCTCTCCCTGTAAAGGAGCTGTGGTCTCCAGACATCATTGTTTACGAGTTGTGAGTTATCTATTTTTCTATGGTTAATGAATCATCTGACATTTTATAAATATGTATGGGACTTCTCTATTTAGATGGAAACTAAATTAAATAGTACCTTTCCCTAATAAGAGTGCTGACAGTTCTTTGTGACATTTCCATCCATCCATCCATCTATCGAGTTGGATCATTGTAGCATGTAGCAACATTACCATAGCTCTGCAGACAATTATAATTTAACACATTATGCTCTTTTCTGAATTGATATAAAATATTTTTTCATTTATTAACCTTTTTTTCCCCTTTCAATTTGTCAGTTTTACCTTGATCATAAAGTGCTTTTGAATTACCTGCGTTAACAGTAACAAACATTTGCTGGTTTAATGCACATTTGAGTGCGTTTATTGGGACAGCATCAACTTACAGAGTTGTTACAGTGGAGAAAGTGTGCAACATGTCACCCATAAAATAAGGCTAAAATTATTCTAATTCAGGGATAAGTGCACTTAATTAAAGACAAATAGTAAAAACAAGTAATATGAGACAGATCCAGTTCATATTGAGTTATCTAGAATAAAATTTGACAGTTTAGATCTTTCCAGTTTATACCAATACAAGGCAATCCTATGGTTACAATCACATCAAATATCCCATTATAGAATTCAGTCGAATTATAATAATTTACAATTTAATTTAGTTGGATATATACATGTTGGTCATTCAAAGCATGTTTTGTTGATTTTGCAGCAATAAAAAAGCAATCGATAATGTTGGAGAGGAAAGTATTTCAACAGAAATAAACCAGAACCAGCCTCAGTATGAGGGTCCCTCTGAAACTACTAACTCAGCATTCCTTTTTCCTTCCTCTTTACTGAAATGATGTTAATTTTATTTCTTGCAGAATGTGACAAAATAATTTATATTAGTAGGTTACTGATGTGCTTCCATCACTATCAGACTAAAATTTATTTATTTCATAGGTGCCATTATCAGTGAAGCAGATGCTGAACATGCAAATCTCTTTGTTTTCTTCCTTGCATCAACTGGAAGAATAAAATATTCCCAATGGTGAATCATCTGAATTAAATAAAAACATAAAGGGAACAGTTTTACTTTGCATGAGAAAAAAAATATCTAAAAATATATACGGTATATAAAAAGAGAGTTGGAAAATAACTTGTAAATCTAAATGTTTATGTTTGGAAAGCTTTACATTACTGCAGCTGTTTGAAGTTCACCAGAAGGTGCAGAGAATGGCATGGAAAACAGTAAATTACACCTCATGTTAGAGCAACTGTTGCTCATGGACCAATTAAACCCCTAAAGGCAAATCTGAATTATTCAAACCTGTTTACAATTTGAAACTCTAACAGTCTTTTAAAAACAAATAAGCTACAGACTCAACACTGCTCTGAGAATTATTTCAGCTTATGTTTTATGAGAGCTTTTCCAGGCTTTAAAGGATTAATGCACTTCTTTGTAAAGATGTCAAGATCAGACAAAAAAAACACCATCAAGTAGACATGCAGGGACTATGCGTAAATATGTGTCCCGGGAAATATGTCTGCTAATTCTCAATGTAAACATGCTTCAGTGATCCTTTTATATACTAAACACTTTTAGTCGTAATTGTTTCTTCTCTTTCCTGCCCAAGTGTGGACGATGATGTCTCCCAAGCATGTCCTTATGTCTACGTGAACCACACAGGACACATTCGCTGGGACAGGATGCTGCGGCTTGTCTCAGCCTGCAACCTGGAGATTTTCAGTTTTCCTTTCGATGTGCAGAACTGCACATTTACATTTGGCTCTTACATGCATACAAGTAAGAAACACATTTGTTGCTATTTTAGCTGTCTCACAGATTAACAGCTAAGCTGTCTGCTGACTCAGATAAAAGCTCAGCATTGAATAATAACAATGAAAAATTAAACAGAAAAGAAAATGAACAAACCTAGTGATTAAAGGTTTCAGAAAATAAAGTTTGTCTTGTATAAACTTGTGTATAAACTTCTGGTACTTTGAAGCACTTTTCGTCGCACTCTTCTTGTTCACAGTACGTGATGTGAGACTCAGTCCAGCTCTGACTTTCAGTGAGATGTCAGAAAACTCAAAGCAATACCTGGAAGCCAGTGGAGAGTGGGAGCTGGTGGACTTATTGGGGGAGACGTCCATTCTGCGGTTTGGGATTGACGAGTGGGACATCATCACCTTTTGGGTTTGAGAAACTAATTTCTACTGAGTTTAAAGGCTTTAAATGTAGAAACAAAAGAGAATGGAGGAACTTTAGGATTGATCCGTTAGAATTTGAATTTCTTATATATGTTAGCTGAACTTTTCTCTGCTTAACTGTTAATGGAAAGACTTGCCACTATTGTCAGATTTTTGTATTAAAGCTATAATTTTAATGAAACTTCAATCAAATCGATGAACTGTGGGGTTGTAATGTAACAAAAATAAAGTAAAGTAAATTGAAAGTACAAATAATGTTGCTGAATTTCAGGGACGGGAAAATATCTAGCAGCCAGTGGTCGGTTCCAGTCAAGTCGAATTAGGGAAATTTTAATAAATATTTCTCCAGCATTAGCTTGAAAGAAACATGCTAAAAGACACAGGCCATAAATTTGAGAGTAAAAAAAAAAAAAAAACAGTAAGGTGAAACCAAAACTAAAGGGTAGAGACATGAATAAATAAATCCAGTAGCATGTTTTAACCTGAATCATTTTTCTATTGTTCATTAGGTGGTCATAAAGCGTCGTCCAGTGCTCTATGTGGTTAACCTCCTGATCCCGAGCTCCTTCCTCATGCTCATAGACATCCTGTCATTCTACCTGCCCCCCCATAGTGTGGACCGAGCCTCCTTCAAAATGACCCTGATCCTGGGTTACACTGTTTTTCTGCTCATCATGAATGATCTGCTGCCCAGCACAGCTAATGGGACTCCCATCATAGGTCAGACATCATCTCTATGAGGACCAGAGCATGTGAGCGGAGCAGAGGAAATATGGTAGAAATATGGCTCCAATTGTCATGATTGTCTTAAGAGATCTGACCCACATGCAGTAAACTGCCCAGAGAACCAGGGTAAAAGTTTAAACAGGTTTATTGATAAAGTCAGCGGGGGTTGGATTCAGGAAACTCAGTGTGCTAGTGAACCGGAAGAGGGAAGGGAAGTATCAGCGGTTAGTTCAGGATCTGTGGGAACCGGAGACAGAGAAAACGAGATTCACGTTAGTGGAGAAGACTTTCCTCCCAGAATCCAGTAAGTGTGGGTTTATCCAGAGGTAGAGACTCGTTGGAGGGCGGACAGGTTTAGACTTGGTTGGATCCTGAGGAGCTATTGAGCGGACTGTCACTTGGAAATCCAGGAGGACTTGAACGGAACTTGTGGCGGTTAATCCCCTGCTCAGTGTGAGACTCAAACAATCCTTCTAGGGGAAGAAGGCCAAACATCCAGCTTGCAGGAAGGCCTTCTGCCGAAAAGGCAAAGGCAAAGACAAGGTTAGGCTCACTGAAAAAAGAAAGACTCGGTTAGACTCGGCTAAACTCAACTTGGCTAGAGTACCCAAAACTGGCAAACACTCTGGCGTCGAGGTAGTGACAGTCCACCGCTCATATAGTCCTCAGTAATGAGCCAACCAGCCGCAGGTATGTGGGAGGACCAACGAGAACAGGGCTCCATCTGGTGGTGCAGGGAGAGAACAACACAAAAACACAACCCACACAAACTGGATTCCTAACACCAATAGGCTCACAACTTCAATTAAAAATGTTGGCTTATAAAATTTGTAAAATAACATTTATTTGTTTTAAGTGTGATAAAAAGTGGGATAGAATATCAAAACATACACTAACTATACTTCACAATACAGAGTGGGTTTACATAAAGTAAAAGCCTTGAAAATGGATCACATACGTGCATTAGACGCTATTATCTCATTGGCAATGGGATGCAAAGTGAGCTTTTTTAATGTAGCCTAGTAAAATAAATTGATAATTAAATAGGAATAGCGGTACAACATGAAAGGAGCGAGGTGTTACATGTATCGGTGACATCATTAAAGCAAACGCAATGTGTCCCAGGGCCCTGGCATAATTACTTGAAGGAAAAATGTCAGAAAATACCCTCTCCTGAAAATTTAAGCGAGCGTGGAGCCATTTCGCCAGAGTGTGCACTGAGCGGATTTTGATTGTCCAGGCGAAACTTTGAGCGGCAAAGCAAATGAGCAAACATCCTCCTGAGTGGGGAGCGGGAATTGTGCGACGCTCAGCTCCATTCACATGCTCTGGTCAGAACACAATGTTGAGAAATAAGTTCTTTACCAAAAAATAATAAACTGCAATAAAATTTATCATATTAACATGTTACTTGTTGTTCTCCATCAGGTATCTATTTCTCTGTGTGTCTGGCTCTCATGGTCATCAGCCTCCTGGAGACAGTCATCATTACCAATGTCCTCCATCACAGCTCCATGAAGTACCAGGAAGTTCCAAACTGGGTTAGAGTTGTTGTCCTTAAGCATATAGCCAATCTGATCTGCTACCGCTGGCCCGACGATGTTCGTCCAAGTCACAAAGCACAGGAGGATAAACCTGGAAGCTCAAGCTGTGGCACAGAAGCTTGGGTGATCCAGCCGGTCAACCAAGCAGCGGACAGGCATACAGCCTCCAATGCAGGTAATCAGTCATGGAATTTANAATGGGACTCCCATCATAGGTCAGACATCATCTCTATGAGGACCAGAGCATGTGAGCGGAGCAGAGGAAATATGGTAGAAATATGGCTCCAATTGCCATGATTGTCTTAAGAGATCTGACCCACATGCAGTAAACCACCCAGAGAACCAGGGTAAAAGTTTAAACAGGTTTATTGATAAAGTCAGCGGGGGTTGGATTCAGGAAACTCAGTCTGCAAGTGAACCGGAACTGGAAGAGAGAAGGGAAGTATCAGCGGTTAGTTCAGGATCTGTGGGAACTTTGAGCGATGGCAGGAGAGACAGAGAAAACGAGACTCACGTTAGTGGAGAAGACTTTCCTCCCAGAATCCAGTAAGTGTGGGTTTATCCAGAGGTAGAGACTCATTGGAGGGCGGACAGGTTTAGACTTGGTTGGATCCTGAGGAGCCATTGAGTGGACTGTCACTTGGAAATCCAGGAGGACTTGAACGGAACTTGTGGAGGTTAATCCCCTGCTCAGTGTGAGACTCAAACAATCCTTCCAGGGGAAGAAGGCCAAACATCAAGCTTGCAGGAAGGCTTCCTGCCGAAAAGGCAGAGTCGAAAACAAGGTTTGCCTCAGTGAAAAAACAAAGACTCGGTTAGACTCAGCTAAAGTCAGCTTGGCTAGAGTACCTAAAACTGGCAAACACTCTGCCGTCGAGGTAGTGACAGTCCACCGCTCAAATAGTCCTCAGTAATGAGGCAACCAGCCACAGGTATGTGGGAGGACCAACGAGAACAGGGCTCCATCTGGTGGTGAAGGGAGAGAACAACACAAATACACAACCCACACAAACTGAATTCCTAACATCAATAGGCTCACAACTTCAATTAAAAATGTTGGATAATAAAATTTGTAAAATAACATTTATTTGTTTTACGTGTGATAAAAAGTGGGATAAAATATCAAAACATACACTAACTAGAAGTGAGCCTTTTTAATGTAGCCTAGTAAAATAAATTGATAATTAAATAGGAATAGCGGTACAACATGAAAGGAGCGAGGTGTTACATTCACAGCTAGGAAACAGTGCGATAATTTAACAGCCAGTTAAATTGTCATGATAGGGTTTCTGAGAGTAAAGCCCAAGATGCAGAACACACACGGAGACACTGGTAAAAGTCCAAAGAGTTTATTAAAGGGCACAAGCACATGGATAATTTACTGGAACAGTTCAGGCAGGGGGCTGGTTCACTGGGGTCTGTGCAGGGAACGGGAGATGGCTGGTAGCTGAGTTCATGTGAGGCTAAGCCCCTAGCTTCAGGCTTAGCGTGGCAGTCCTAGTTTTGAGCTTCCAGCTCACCGCAGAGAACAACTGGGGAAATCCACATGGGAACCTCTTAGGGAAACTCCACAGGGAAGTCGACAGGTAGCATCCACGTGGACTCTTTGGGTTGGCTCACCAGGGCAGATTAGCAGGTTAGCTTTCCTAGAGCGTCAGGCTTGGGACTGGCTTCCGATGATGCAACTCTCCCAGAGCTGCAGGCCAGAGACAGGTTGCCAGAGAGACAGCTCATCTAGAGCTTCACGAGGGGACTGGAGGTTAAGCTCATGCAGAGCTTCACGAGGAGACAGGATGTTAAGCTCATCCAGAGCTTTCACGAGAGACAGGATTCCAACTAAGATCAACACTGCGGCGTGGAATCAAGGTCTGAAGTCAGCTTATATAGGAGAGGTCTTCTGATGAGAGGATTAGCAACAGGTGTGCAGGAAGGTTCCAGCTCCAGAAGACCCACGGCGCACTCTGCTGGAGACAGAGGGTAATCTCCAGATCCCCACAGTAACTCAACCCTAAGGGAAAAACACAGAGCAGAAGAGGATCCTCGGCGCCCTCTGGAGGGCAAGCCTGAGGATCCTAACATAAATATCACAATACACATATATCGGTCACATCATTAAATCAAACGCAGTGTGTCCCAGGGCCCTCGCATGATTATTTCAAGGAAAAATGTCAGAAAATACCTTCTCCTTAAAATTTAAGCGAGTGTGGAGCGATTTCGCCAGAGTGTGCACTGAGCAGATTTTTGAGCCTCCGAGCGAAACTTTGAGCAGAGAACAAAATAAGCAAACATCCTCCTGAGCGGGGAGCAGGAATTGCGCGACGATCAGCTCCATTCACATGCTCTGGTCAGAACACAATGTTGAGAAATAAGTTCTTTACCAAAAAATAATAAACTGCAATAAAATTTATCATATTAACATGTTACTTGTTGTTCTCCATCAGGTATCTATTTCTCTGTGTGTCTGGCTCTCATGGTCATCAGCCTCCTGGAGACAGTCATCATTACCAATGTCCTCCATCACAGCTCCATGAAGTACCAGGAAGTTCCAAACTGGGTTAGAGTTGTTGTCCTTAAGCATATAGCCAATCTGATCTGCTACCGCTGGCCCGACGATGTTCGTCCAAGTCACAAAGCACAGGAGGATAAACCTGGAAGCACAAACTGTGGCACAGAAGCTTGGGTGATCCAGCCGGTCAACCAAGCAGCGGACAGGCATACAGCCTCCAATGCAGGTAATCAGTCATGGAATTTACATCTACCTCTGTCATGTTTTTGCTTGTTTTTGGCTAAGGGCAGCCATCTTTTTGGCCCCATTATGCTATGTTCGCACCATGTGCAATTTCAGCTGCAAAAAACCTCCTTCTGCTTTATTTTTGATGCTTGTACAATATTAAGGTCGGACATGCATTAAGAGCATCTTTGATCCCCTTAAGTGATCCCCTTCTGCTGCTCCTGTTTTCAGTGGCAGAGAGCTGGTTTTGCTATACTTGCTCTGATCAGCGGATAAAATGTAGTTTTAATATATTTTTAAGAAAAGTCCACCTCAAAAATCATTTGTGCAGTCAGTTCATCAAGATTACCATCCTTAAAATATTATTTTGCTGCAGTTTGATTCGTGCTGTCAACGGGAATTCCCAACAGCAGCAGCCTCAGGCCCCGTCACATCTTGGGTGGATTTATCCCTAATGTTCGTGGCGGCTGGAAGTAGATGTTAGCATTTTTCATATACGTAACACAAACTGCAAGCCCCATAATTATTACAGCAAGCATATTTTGCTGAAAGGTTTCTACATTTTAATTTAATTTAGGCATTAATAAACGGTCTCAGAGGAGCGATCATAGCAATGTGCATCAGCAGTGCTGTGTCTGTCTGGTTGATGTGGCGTGTCAAGCAGCAAAAGTTTAATTTTCCAACTCCATCAGCTGCTGCCTGTGAATCACATCATGTACAGCCGCGGTTCTCAAAGTGTGTGGCGCGACCCACTGGTGGGGAATTGAGACGTGACAGGTGGGGCGCGCCAAGTTCCGGTGTGTGTGTGTGTGTGTGTGACTATAAATGT